AGGCAAGCCGGTTTTTCACGGCTATTCATGGCGTTCACGATATTTTCTTACACCGTTCAAGCAAGTGTTAAATGCACACATAGACAGAAATGTACATTGGTGCACAGCCGGAGATCGAACCCACGACCTCAGGGATGTGAGTCGCACGCTGAATCCACTAGGCCATCGTTGTTTTGGATAAGTTACCTGGATATAATAATGAGCGTTCTCATTATCTTTTTATTTTGTTTGACATTTTAACAATTCAGATACAGAGGCTCCACTTATGTTAATGGGCAGATGACATTTGACATGCATCAGCCATTAAATTTGACATTATGTGTATTAAACAATATATGACATCATTGAATGCAGCTTCTTATGTAAATGTCAAGGTTGTTCTTAATTTTGGATCGACACTTAATTTCATCGAATAAAGGTTACATGTAGATTATTTTATTATAAATAAATGTTATGATTTATTTTAGGTTTTATTTATTTAAAGTATATCAGGGTCGAGATCACTTTTATTATTAAAGGTTTAGTCTCAAGTTAACTTAATCAAGATATGTTTTAGGAAAATCTCATATTTGTTTGCTTTGTCTATAATATTAAACAGAAATTAAATCTATATCATCTCTCTCAACCGAATAAAGATTAAACTTATTCGATAATGTTCAAGATATTATTTATTAATTAGACAACACAGGCCTTAAAGATTCCGTACATAAATAATTATATTTCATACCTATTTCAAGGTACCAGGCATACATAGCTAAACAGAGCCTTCATAAGGCCCTATCCATGAACTCATTTCAACATTACCTTTAGACTTTTTTTGTACAACAAAAATATTTTATAATTCTTATAATGTATTAATATATTTTTTCCGGCAGCGTTATAAAATGAATTAAATATCGCGTATTATTACGTGTCGTCTATCGAAAGATAGCGCTTTGCATAATTTTATTTTAATGACTCTCAAATACCTTTTTAAATGAGCATAATTAATGATATCACCTTTTCAGCTCACCAATAAGTGTGGGTTGAATAATAATGTGTCTTTACAATGAATTTGCCCGAAACCTACATACCATTTAGACTACAAAGACTTTAATTAAGAGAGATTGGATTCTTTATATCAAATCGCATTCAGTTAAATTCTAAATAAAAGATTGCTTAAATTATTTATTTGTGTTCTTTCTTCATGCTTAATGAAAAAAAACTGTAATTCAAGTTACTGTATCCACTGTAATAAGAAAACTAGTACTACTACGATACCAAACTAACATGATATTTATGGGCGAGTCGGAGCCTGCGGTCTGGCTGGCCCCACGTTACCTCTAGTGCTATTCATATTACTGATATATTTGACAATTCTGTAACAGATTTTTTCCAGCTGCGTTCTGTACTCCAGGAAAATGTCAGGAAAGTAAATGAACCACCGTTTGGGCGGTTTTTTTCGTCACAATCGTACACGGGGCTGCAAGTGCCATACGCAAGTAACTTTGAATCAACGATATACCCTCGATGGGATTGGTATCTATAATTATTGCAATACTTTTAATTTAATAAGCACAATTAGACTTTTTAAATACGGTATATTTTACACAAATTATGTACCCAGCGACAAATTGTTCCACTATTGTTCGTAACTAGTGCGAATCCCTTAGATATAATTAATTCTGTTTCGCCCCAATAACACATGATTAATTACAATAATTTACGCTATATGAAAGTTTCGTAAACAACTATTTTATATGCAAATATTTCTGTGATTTCATTAACATATGAATCTTTCATTATACCTATTAGACTTATGTAACGGTCTAGACATCTAACTTTAGGTCAATCTAAATTATAATGACTAAGATTTCGTGATAAATTAGGCTTAAAATCAAACGAAATACATGAAAAATTGAACAAAATACAATTATATTAAATGTTAATTACACAAACATACATCAGCAAATAAATACTTGCTATCGTCCCCTTTTCATTGAATTTATTTGATTGAAAAAAATGGCAGAGAATCTTTTAATCTTCTACTTATTTTTCTTGGTATCTGGTAATGCAAATTTTAACCTTTTATTTTTTTCACATTGAGTCTTAAGTGTAAATCAATACAAATAAATATATTTAGATTTGATATGTTTATCGTCATTTTATCTAATATCTAATATTTTAAAAAGTGTGAATGTAGATAAAGATACTTATTTCTTTTCATACTTATAATCCCTCTATTTAAAGTCCAAAAGCCTTGAGTTTATGTAAGTGTAAAAAAACCACAAAATTATTTATCAATAACAGTATTTTTTTTAAGAACATAAAAGGCATTACTAAGTATAATACGTAAGGATCGTAAAGAGCGATACTTCTGAATACATATAAGAAACATAACGACTGCATGTATGGCTTCACATTTTTTAAGCTGTTTCATTTGTTGAAGCAATTATTTGTAAGAAAATTAGTGGGCTAAATCTGCCTTGCGATTCTGTAACTCACTATTCGAACTCTCACAGCGGTTTTCGCAGCGGCGGTCGCGCTCAAATCAGTCGTGAAGCAGTCATTTTACGATTTGGCATTCTGGTATGGAGGGAGCTTGTAGTTTACTGTTTATCAGGAATGCCAAATCGTAAAATGACTGCTTCACGACTGATTTGAGCGCGACCGCCGCTGTGAAAACCGCTGTGTGAGTTCGAAAAGTGAGTTACAGAATCGCAAGGCAGAGCATGGTTCTTTACCGCACGAGCAAGTACAATCAGAGATTTCTCTACACAAAAAAAGGATGTTTTCTTAATAAAGACGTTACGGAAATCCGTGTCGATCTTCTCTAGATAAGAACTATTTGCTTTTCGTAAATGGTAAATAAGACACGCTCTCACTTAATAACATTTTTGATTATGTAAATGTTACTGTTCTGGTTTGATTATTAGAACGTATTTTTATATTGTAAAGTGAACATCAATAAAAATTCCTCAGGCCAAAGTTGAACTTGTTGAAATTGTGACTCGCTTTGTTATAAACATTTGAGTTTCTTATTAGGAACAAATCTTTGACACCACCATGTTGGTTGGGGCGTCTGGACAAAGCCATTTAGATGTTTAACGAAAACTCCATTTGTGCACAGCCGGGTTTGAACGCTGCTCAGCTAGATACATACTCCTGTCCTTTGTTTTAAGCTTATTTTGTATGTTCATAGGTAGGTATTATATTTAAAAAATTATATAGAAATTAATTATGACATCAATTATTGGTGAATTCATTTTTAAGAATTCATCATAATTAAGAAAGTTAAAAGTGCAAATTTTCAACCTTAAATGTTTCTTACAATACGAAATAATAGTAGATCCGATTTTACAAAAATCACAATCCCAATCTGCTTAGTTTTTATTTAAGTACTCGTAAATATTTACTTTGACATTAATAGATACTAATTGTTCTCATGACATATATAAATTGATTTGTCATATAAATAAATATAACTTGCACAATTACTAATTGCTTATAATTAATTAGTAATTATCTATAGGTGTATATCAAGGACGCATATCCTGGTTATTTTACTTTCAATATCAGGACTTTAATAAGAAAATATTTATTCAAAATGGTTCAAAGCAAAGGGATTAAAACTAATCTAACCAACCACCAGAACATAAAATAATACCTACTTGGTAATAACAGCCCTAATCTTAAAAACAGTTATACAATTCTTCTTCTTCTTCCTATCCGGTGCACTCTTGACAGAGCGGTCGTGATCGCTATGAAGTGGTAATAGAAGGGGCAGATGTGATGCGCTTCACGACGTTTCGCCATCATTGCCTATTAGAGGTCATCCTGCTGCACTGATTGAGTGAGTCTCCTACGGCAGACTTGATTTGGTCAGTCCAACGCGTAGGTGACCTTCCGCGCGGTCTAGTGCCTTCCACCTTCCCCTGGACGACAAGGCGTTCTATGGACTGATCACCACGCCGAGATACGTGTCCGAAGAATGTAAGGTTATACAATTATACAAACTAAAAAAAACTGAATATTTTTTTTATAATTGGCTTTATAGATGGGAACTATATAGATGAGAACTATATAGATGAGAACTATATAGATGAGAAGTGCTCTTTCATCTTTCTCGTGGCTAGATTATAGAAAATTGTGATCCAAAATCTCCTTAAAAACATGTGTTTCCTTGTTATGACTAAGAGTCTGTATGACTCCCTCTACTTAGATGACAAACCAAACTCTTACAACACATGTAAACCAATACAGTTTTAACATTATTGAAAGTCAGCCGGTTTGCGCTCGTATGAAAGTGATACGAGACCACTTTCGCTCTGGCGATTCCTTCAATATGAACTTCTATAATAAAATTCTTTACAGATCATTGATCTTTAAGAGGATAGCTTGTTGAACAGTTTAAATATATATGTACAACTATTTATCTAACATAAATCAAGAAAAAATATCGGATGTATAATTTAGATAGAAGAATGATTACATATTATGTGTAGTCCTCAAATGCCTTTGCTAATAATGAAAAGTACCAAAACATTCATGAATGTGACCAAGCCATATAGACCAATGAAATGTTACAATTTGAGGGCCAAACTGAATTTTTTGAAGATAATATTTTTAATATCAATGATCGAGAATTAAAAATATTTTTAATTCTCGATCATTGATAAGCATGAATTGTAGACAAGAGATACATAAGATTGATTTCCACATGAGCATATGTGCTCAAGTCACGATGTAGAGCAATGATACTATCTACCTTTGACATATAAAACGAAATTGCATATACCTTGAGATAATAACAGATCACGATGCTGCACAAAAATTACTTTCAAAACGAGATGATCTTTTAATTGTTATTGGCTAACATCGTAATTGGATCATTGCATCGCTTGATAATAATTGGTCGATAGGGTTTTGAAATTAAACTCGACATATACAGTCGATTCGTTTTTCTATATTATGTTATGATCTGTGGCACAGTTCTGTCGAAAATAGTTCGAAATTTAAAAATGCGGTTAAGAAGTGTAAGGCTAAATGGCTATGTAACATTCGAACCAGTTAGAAGGGTATCGTCTAGCCAGTGTGATGTAAGTGATGCCCGTCACGAGGTTCTGGTGCAAGTCACGAACGGATGAAAAAGATATAATATTAAAGTTTAATACACTGTTTTTATTTCAGTTCGACAAATGAATGACAATAGCATTACGTTCAGAGGAAATTAAAGTAAATAAAAGTCAACAGTATTACCATTAACAGTAACAGTTCATGGCCCTGACACTCTTTACTCGAGTTCCATGCAAGTCCAGTAGTAATTTTATGATATGAAATTGTATGAATTAATATATAAAAATAACTACAAACTATCATTTAATGAGAACGGAAAAACTCCCCGCCTGTGGACCATCCGTAGAAATGCGCCTACGTTTTAATTCCTCTTATTTGGAAAACTCTGTATTTCAACAAAGTTTATCCGTCTATAATCTATATACTATAACATAAAATAAAAACATAGGACAGATGCGTAGAACTCATAGTTCTTACAACATAGTCCAAGCACAAACAGGTAATAACGAAGTGTAACATTTAACCTTACTTAATTCAATCAAACGTTAAGTTACTGGTCAGAGACAGACTTTCTTAGCTCCTTAATACTTATATTGAGTACCGTCCTCTTATTAGTTGGATAGAGTCTTATTAGAGGGTATTAAAAATCGAAAATAAACAATCTATGGTCTCAGCTCTTCTGCGAGAACATTTTTCTGATCTGTTTTGAGAACATTTGTTTTTTTCTAATAAACAGATAGGTTTTTGTGCCCGACACACGCCGACATTCTGTCTAAGGCATTTCGGTTTCCTCACGATGTTTTCTGTCTCCATACGAGCAAGTGTGAAATGCGCATAGACAGTAAGTGCATTTCCGTAGAGCCGGGGTTCGAACCTCCGACATCAGGGATGAGAGCCACGAGGCAAGTAGACCAACACTATATTAACATTTATTTAAATTATACCATATATATTTTAAACTGAGAAGACTTAATATATATAATAAATCAAAGTACATAATGGCAAATTAAAAAACGGAAACACGTAACGTGTACACAGTTTTAAGGGTCAAGAACACAACATTCTTATTATAATATCTTTTGGGCATAAAAATTTTCCCAGGCCCATACAGTGATAAATATACATTCATAAAAGGCAAAAGTCTTTATCTGTCATAGGGTGAAAGGCGATCAAGGACTGGCGGATCGGGTGACCATAGTTTGATGTTTTTTTATAACTTTTGAACAAGTTATTGCGTACAGAACAGTATACTTCTCTAACGCACAACGGACCAAATATGCGTCTAAGTGTGGAAACTGAGTCCATACTACTATCACTATGGAATAGAGTCGGAGAATCATTAAAAAAAAATAGTATATCATATGTAAATTTGAAGCTTGAAATATAATATTTGTCCATGAATATATATTATAATTCAATAATTATGTTAAACTATTGAAAATGCTCAATTTAACGCATACTTGAACACAATCTTATATTTCAGTTGACACTGAAACTGAATACTTTACCTTTAATAGGAGACTTTGTGTCAGGGCTTTTGTGATATCCAAAGGTTAGATGAAGGTCAACTAATGTGTAGTAAAGAATCATCATCATAAGTTTTCGTGGTTATGTATGGTGTCATGTTCATATGCTGGCTTTTGATTTAGCGATATTGTTTTACTGCCTTACCCCGTTAAAAATAAGTGCTAAATTAGTTTAATTACACAGTTTTAACTTGAGTACACAGTCTCCTTTCATGACAGATTAAACAAAATTCGACTGATGACAAATGAGTACTTTAGATATAACAGTGTAATTATAATGGTGTAGTATATTAATAGCTGTTATCATTTAGCACTTATACTTAAAGCCCCTCCAATCCAATTCTTCTTACATAAACCTTATTTTCATATTTTATATTATTTTTTTTAACTGATACTATATGTATATAGATCAACCCAAAACTTTTTCTGATAGCATGCACACCCTAGTTCGAGCCGTCGACGGTTCGTGGTTAAGTTATATGGCTGCTATTTTATTGAGCGCAGAGAATGACGGCTCGTGGAAAATCTTCTATAATTTCTGCGAGTCGGTCATGAAAGTCAAAGAAGAAGCGGAAAGAACCAGGGAGCTTTGTCCCGGAACCCATCCGCGGCGGCGAAAGAAACCGCAGGCCCGACAAATGCTCGCCACCTAAATAGTGCCCAAGCGGGAAAGAAGCGTTCCATGCGTTCAAAAGAAGGGATGGTGATCCATCCCTGCAAACACTGGACCCGATCTCCCCTAGCTATTCCTAAAAGCGTATGGCCCGATCTGTGAAGGATACTTGCTGTGTCAAGTATCTTCACAAATAAACAAGTGGGCGGGGAGAGGCGGACACAACCGCCGCATCGAATGTCGGGAAGCGGATGAGGCTCTGCTGTTACCGCATCCCGCCTAAGGCGATTGTCGGTGGCGCCTTGGGGTTTTAGTGGGTATGCACATTCGCGAGTCCCACATAACCCTCCCGCACTAAGCAGTCGCATCGCGGTAGGGTATGCGCAATGCATTTCCTAAAGTAAAAAAAAAAATATGGCTGCTATTTATTTTCGCTTCAAATAAAAAAAAATAAAAAATTCACTTTCGCGATAAGTAGAATTTCTGCGAAAAGTCTAACCTTTTCCAGCAGCTCAATTTTGTACCTTTGAAACTTTTAGTTCCGTTGAAATGTAACCTAAAATGTTATAGCGGCACTTGTTTTTACATAGGCCTCCGATTTCTGTATCTGTTTCTTGATCATTTGCTTCTTCTAATGGGCAAGTAGGTGAATAGCCTTCTGAGCAAACGCCGTCCACTTGGGTCTATACTCACCCTAAGGCATGTTGGTTTTCTCACGATGTTTTCCTTCACCATACGAGCAAGTATTAAATGCGTACATAGACAGAAAGTCCATTGGTACAAAGCAGGGTTTCGGACCTACGACCTTAGGGATAAGAGTCGCACGCTAAAGGGTCTAGGTCAACACTACTAATTCCGTTGAGGTGTAAAGTGTCGGTTAGAAAGTGTATACTTACTACGCGTATGGGTTTTTATTATAGTACCTACACAAGGTTTTAAGGGAAAAAGTTTTTTAAAATATTACTCACAAATATTCAGACTTGGTGCTATTTTTGTAATAATTTTCTTAATACACATACGCTTTCGTAAAATATATTTAAGAAAAATCTTGCAGCAGTGTTGCGCGCAAATTTTTTTTCCTAATAATCTATAATATAAAAATGAATCGCAAAATGTGTTGGTAAGCGCATAACTCAACAACGCCTGGACCAATTTGGCCAATTCATTTTTTATAATATTCCTTGAAGTACCAGGATGGTTCTTACGAAGAGAAAAATTAAAAAAATTGAGTGAAAAAGTCTAAAAACAACACTCTTCTATTTCCATACAAAATTTTCGTAATAATACTTAAAAGTCAATTTAAACTTTAATACCATATCATAAAGTTCAAGTGATAGTGGAGGGGTTCCGGGAAGGTAAATTTATATTTTTGACATATTGTTTTTGTTGTCTTATCAACTTTCTTTTTTTATCTTACTAGCTAGACCGGTGTCCCGAATAGCAGAATAAGTATTTAAAAAAAAAAATAATCGACTGTTAGGCGGTACGATGTTCGCCAGGCCAGCTAGTATTTTATAATAGTAAATACTAATAATAATAAAAGCCCTTTATTAGCTGACCTTTTTAACTTACATGCTATTCTTATTTAACAGTAGTATTCTTAAATCTAATTTACATACTGAAAATAATAATTAATTAGCAACCACTTTGGTCAGGTTGTCTGTCGACATAGGCCTCCCCCAATTGTTTCCACGTCTCTCTATCCTTGGCAGACCTTCTCCATCCTTTTAGTAGATCGTCCTCCCATCTTTTAATTTATACTGCTACATGTATCTACATTTAGGCGTTGTATAGGACATATAGTCTGATTCATGTTTATTATCTTAGTACTTATATTTACGCTCTACTTACTATTATTCGCAGCTTGAACATATCAACCTTATTTTACGGATGGACACTCATTTAACTGACTGTTGCAAAATAGTAATTATCGACCGATTACTTTTAACCTAGTTTGCTACCAGTCTAATTCATATGTTTGAATACGTTTACTGGGAAATTCATTCTTTTCTCTTTTGAAATATTGTTTAAGACAAGAAAATATAATAAAGAATAGCATTTATTAAATTATTGATGTTAAAAAAATCATTTAAGATAAAGCTGGAGCTCATTTCGCTTTGAAGATTCACTTATATAATATGTAATTACATAATGTATTACAGTTATGCACTATATTATATCACTGAGCAAGATAAATTAGTTAGGTACCGTTACGGTATCCGCATCAAGTCCTGACTATTGTTTAACTTGGAATGCACTTTCATTGTTTTACTAATGCACCTAAGCGACCCATTATATCATACATAACAAATAAACATAAGTGTGAGCCCCTCCCCCTTTCATTATCCTACAGTTATTGACGACTCATTGGTCTAGTGGTTACTACCCCTGACTGCGAATCCATGGGTCCCGGGTTCGATCCCCGGCTTAGACGAACATCGATGTGATGAGCATTTGGTGTTGTGCTTAGATCTTGGGTGTTTAAATATGGATTTATATGTCTATCTATCTATAATATGTATGTATATCCGTTGCCTAGTACCCATAACACAAGCTTCACCAGCTTAGCATGGGACTAGGTCAATTGGTGTGAATTGTCTATAAAAAAAAAAAAAGTTATTGGCAAGCCCGTTAAATTGTAGCACATTTAAAAATTAGGAGGTGTTATGAGCTAGCTCTTAAGAGATGATAGTATATGTATATTGCTTTTATATTTAAATAAAAATTAATAATAATTCCATTATTATCTCGTTTCAGGGTGAAGGCATATCTCGAACAAGCAGAAGAACGATTACTGACAGAAGTGCAAATAATTTGAATAAAACCGAAGAGAACATACCGACGTATAGATCAAGAAGCATAAGAAGAAGAGAAGAAACACAAGAATCAAGCACTGTAAGGTCAAGAAGCAGAGGTAGGACACTAGAAAAAGATAATATTTCACCTAACGTTGAAATACAAGTGCAATCTGGACAAAATGACCCATTTGAATCCAGGAGATCAAGTATCCGATCTCGATCTAGAACAATTGGGAAAGAAGCAACAACAGAGAGTATCTTAAGTAGAGAGAGTATTATTCGAGGACGATCCCGTGGAAGTGGAAGGAAATTTACGCCTACTACTACTCCCCTTAATGATCAACCAGAAAGTTCATCCAATAAAGTTGCTGTAACGTTGTCACCTAGAAGTGTTGAAATTAGGTCAGATATAACAAAGACAAATGAAATTCTTCCTACAGGAGCAACTGCACCATCTAATCAATTCAGAAGAAGAAGTTCTACCGTAAGCACTGTGGACGATTACAAACAAATCAGACCTCGAGGACGAATTAATACAAGGACCAATTCGAGAGCTCTTGATTTAGAAGTAGCAGGTACTACAAATACCTTCACTGCATCAGCTAAAGAAACAAAAATTACGAGAATAAACGATGGAAGAAATTCAAGGAAATTAAGGTACAAAACAAGAACATTGGAAACAGATACAAATTTAACTGGAGTGGGTATAACAACAGCTTTAAATGAGGTAGAAAAATCTAGTCAAAGGAATGACACAACAAGTCCACCTGAATTCAGCGAAATAAATTCTACAACTGTTAAAGCGACTGAGAACACATTTCAACCAAGCACGGAATCAGTATTAACATCGAGTACACTTAAACCCTCGAAAGTCGTAAGACGACCAATCACAAGAAGTAACGGTTATTTCAAATCTTCTGAGGTTAAAAGTAATTCGAAAATGTCCGACGAGATAAGCGAGGATGATAATTACCCGGAGAGTTTTAAAGCTCTTATACAAGCTAAAAATGCGGTTAGTATTCAGGAATGTGCAGCCTCTTAAAATTTCATATTATTACATATTAACAATCACAGCCCGTTGACATAATTCCTATACAGTGTATTAATACAATATGTCACTTTAAATTTTCAGACACAAGCAAACTCTTCTTTAGGCGAGAGTTTGTCAGTGAAAGCATCACACAAAGATTCCAAAACTCACGCACTATCTATTCAAACCAACACTACGGATCCTGGCACTGACAAAAACTCTCGGGTAAACTAAACAGTTTTAACTAAACTTATTCAATATATAAGATAATTCATATGGAATTAAGCTTATATTAAGCTAAATATTTTGACTATACTTAGAATTGTCGTCGAACTACATAGAATATTGGTTTAGCTGTTAAATATATAGATTAATTTTTATGTACATATATATCAATAATCATATTGTATATTTTAGCTTCGTAAAAAGTTGCAAAATGAAGAAAAAAGTAAGAAGGGTGACGAACAAGAAGCTCTATCATTAGGATTAACGTCCACGACAACAACCTCTGAGGCACCGAAACCTAGGTCTATTCCTTTTCGTCCACGTGGTACTTACTTATCCAGAAGTAAAAAATCAAATGCAACTAAATCTACAACTGAAAACATAAATTATGCAACAAGACCTAGCCTTGAAAATCCATATAAATTTAGCAAAAGAATTCAATCTTCAACGGAACCATCAAGAACAGACATCACTTTGAAAACAAAGCGATTGGATTCGCTGCCAAAAAAGCAGGTCATACGCTCCTCACTTTTTTCTCGTAAAAACGATCCCCTAAACAAAAATATAACTGTAATACCATTGAATGAAAATCGTAAACATGATCGTGTACAATCAGGAAATAATTTAAAAGCGAGAAGAACATTACCAAGTACAACATATTATTCCCGATTAAGAAATAACACAAAATTGTATTTGACAGAAACTAGCTATATAGAAAAAAACACTGAAACTCCGATAGCAGATAAAAAAGTTGGAAACTCTGCAGATATGCCTTTAATTTTTACTTATCTCAATGGCCCAAGCTTGTCTGATAAACTGCAGCCAACTAACGAAAATACTGCACCCGTACTGAAAGGTAAAGAATTGCAAGAAAATAGTACAGAAAATGAGATTCTTAATAAAGCTGAAGAAAGTGAAAATAAATTAATTATTAACACGGACGTAACGACACCAAAATATCACGCCAACTACAAAGAAAATATACAAAGTGAAAAAGCCATCACTTCTGCAACACCAGAAATAAGAAATATTAAAACCAGGAAATACGCACGCAAACAAGAAAAAGCTAAAGTTCAAGGAACGAATACTCCTTCCGTGATTTTCAAAAGTAAAGACCGGAATGTTCGAAAGTACGGAGACACCTTTTCCAAGACAACAGAAAGTCCTGCAAATAGCGTAAGTATTTAAACTTGTTTATACCGAGTCAATCATTGTAACAACAAATACACAAAAACTTCAACATAATTAACGCAACAATTTCAGATATCACAAGAACCTGAAAAACCAAAACATAAGTTTAGTTCAAAATATAGAGGTTCTTATTTAGATAGGCCTTTTTACAAACCCACAGTTCCTACTGTAACACCATCAACAACTGTAAGTAACACATTCACTACATATTTACAAATAATATAACATAATAGTTATTAGAACTTCTACTTTATGTACAGTGCATTATGTTAACCATAAAATATGTAAAGACTGACTCATTGACCAAATCCCCTTTATGAAAATATATTTTTAACGTACTAATAGTATTGTATGTTATGGTTTAGCAATGATCACTTTTGACTGAATTCACTGTATTGCCTTCAGTACTATTAAAACAACAAATAAAACGTTTTTCTACTGGTTCGAGTGATCGTTTCTAATCGTTCTCATATCGATTTCCATAAAACTAATACACTAACATAATAAAACTTTGAGCTAAATTATTGTAACGAGAAGTTTCTTATTGCTAAAGGCATGGGAGAAATTCTTCGTGACTGACGAGTACACACAGTTCGTCGAAGATCCAATATTGTTCGGGAATGACTATTATAATAACACAACGGAAATAATGTCAAGAATGAACTTCACCTCACCAACATATACTCACGAATCATCCATAGAGCTGGTTAATGAAAATATTTAGAAAAATCATCGCATCATCTTCACTTTAGCATTTAGTTTAAGTACTTCTTAATGTTTAGCATATAAAGTATTTCAAAGAGACGGTTTAAATTGCATTTAATACCATTTGTTAAGTCTTTTTGAGTATCTTTGAGTTTAATATAAACCGCATTTAAATTACAGATTAAAACATGTCATTTCAATGCGGTGCGGTAAACAAATTAATATAAATATCATGTAAAATAATATCATTCCACTAACATTTTTGTCGACATTAAATATTGTTCATTTTAACATTGTATTGTTTTAATCTTAAATGGCAGAAATCAATTTTCCTCATTTATAAATAAAGAGGCTTTGGTCTTTGCACGTAATTTCTATATTTCTGACTTTCTTGGCACGTTCGGTACCTTTATAAATACAATACTATTTATTCTTTTTTCTATTTTTCTATATTCATGGGTGAGAACACATTTCATTTCAGGTAGAGGGTGAAGAAATACAATTAGGGCCTGATATGAATGCTATAGCCATCACAAAAACCCATCGGCCATTGTATTCAGCTGATTTGAGGCTTTCCGAGAGCTTGGCGAAACCCTTACAAGTATCAAACGTTGAAGTATCCCAACATTCACCATCAGTAACAGTGTCTATATTCGATGCTTTGGCTGATATACTCACGTCTACGCCCAAGCCTCGAATTTCAACAACAGCTGCAATATTACCAAAAAATATCAACGAAATCAATACAATGCATTCACTTGATGGCGTGAGTAGTAACGTTAATGTAAATACTGTCACAGGCTTTGCAAGTCAGGAATCGGTAACATCAAAGGATAATTTAAACACAAATGCTAAGTTTGTACAAACCACTGAACCAGTTGTGTTTAACAGTTTGCTGGTTGGGGACAATGTTACACCGTCACTAAAAGCAGAAGATGAGAAAACAAGTTTTTTTACCTCACCCAAAACTGTTCCAATTCCAAATCCTACTACTCCTATATCTGCGAGAAAACCATTCGCAATAAAAGTTTTATACTCCGAAACCGAATCGACCAATAAAAACTCTCCAACTGCTCTGCCCACTACTCGTTTGACGTCGACTGACAAATCAACAACGGTATATAACAGTATATCAGATCTTTTACAATCTAATAATGGAGTTGTATCTACTGGACTAACAAGCATGTTATCAAATAATATTAGAAGTATTATCGATAGTATGGACGATGAAAGTAAATCTAGATTATCAGTAGGTATGACTAATTTGTTGAATACTTTGACTCCAAGCGCTATTAATAATATCTCAAAAGTAGAAGATGATAGCACCCCTTACATGACTACTCCTTACAGTTTGGAGGATATTAACGATACTGCAAATATTGACATAAATTTAAATGAAAGTTCAAATATTTATAATAAAATCCTCCAAAATGTTAGCCCCGCAGAAATAATTGTAAATAGTACTGAAACGCTTCTAAATTCACAAAATGAAGTAGATGTTGAAAGCACTACACCTGTAAATAGCTCTGAGTCGTTAGAAAATGTACAAAGTTTAGAATCAGAATCAGATAGTGACCTAAGATACGAAAATAACGTTTTAATCAATACACTTAAAGATACCGAGTCTACTACCGCAAGGGTAACGGTTGATAATATAGAGAATTTAGACGAAACCTCTACTAACAAGGAACCAGTTACCCCATCCATCCTAGATCCTTTAAGAGATATTACCACAGAGATATCAAATACCCAACTTCAATCACCCTCTTTAACAAAACTGTTGTCTTTTAACCAATTAGATGATAGTGAAGTATTAGAAGATCCAAGTCAAGTATCACAACTCCAATTATGGGTATTAACTAAAAAAGCCCGAGTTTTAAAAATGATTGAGGATCTCCTACGTATACATTCTGACGAAATTTCTAATCCACCTCTTGGTATTCTAAATAAACCCAAAATTTCATTCTCTAATCGGCTGACCGAAATAATAAATACAATGAACTTTACAACCACTGAACCTGACTTTACTGAACGAACCACTCTGAACTTTATTGCAAGTACCTCTAGTTCCACATCGACCGTACCTTTTACATCGGCACCTTTGTCCCTTGATAATAATCTCAACGGTGACGACTTAGTTCTTACAACCCAAAACATAGATGGTATTGCTTTTCCAAATGACGAATCATATCCAAAAACTATTAGCGAAATTGCTGATGCTTTTACTACTGCCAATTCAGTACTTACCACTACAGTGTCTGAAGATATTGTAAAAACATCTATCGATTCTAAGGAAATAGAAAATGAGAAGTTTGACCTTGCGTCTTCAAGTAGTTTTGAAACTACAACTGGAATAGCAGAGCCCAGAATTGTTGTTGATACAACTATTATGGCCAACGTCGAAGACACATCAACATCAGGTATTGAAACCTCCACAGCTACAGTAATAAATGAGAGCAAATCAGCAGATTTTATAACAACCAGCAATATGCTAAACGTGGCCACTCGACCGTCAATTCCAAAAAAAGATTTTGTCATTTTTGGAATACTTCCTAACAATACAGTGGTACGTAAAGACCCTAACGATAACCCACTGGAAGCATTAACAGAAGCAAGTCCATACATCATTTACGGCGTACTACCAAATAACACAATAATACGCAAGTTTCCGAACGGAACTCGAGTACCACAAATCATGCAAAAAATTGACGTACTACCAATTAGTCCATGGAGTCTAAAAAATCCATACAGCCCTATCCATAATATTCCAGCCATTGTCAGACCACAGTCTAACCCAATCCGAGTTTCCACTAATACTGTGATATCCACAGACATACCAAATAACGAAAAGGAAATCAGTTTAACCACCGACACTGTAAATAACCTGCAAGTAATGGTATTGATTTTATGTTGTTTAGCTTATGTGCTCTGCTTTGGTGCTTATTTTCCTCATGCAATTACACTACATAGACAACTTAATCTAAAGGGTGTATTGGTGAAGGTTCGAAAGATCGTAGGCTTTGCATGTTTTGGGACACTAAACGCTTATTAATAACATAGCGAGGCATAACATATTATTTCATAATTGCAGATACCTTCATCGGCACTTAATATAAAAGATAGCAGTTCATTGGGTATAACAACTACCTTCACACTGCCACCTGCTGAAAAAAGCACTGCCTCGCATGTTTTAAGTTTGCGCACAACTACAATGCTACCTTCTGTTGATGAGATTCTGCTTAATAGTATATCTTTGGCGACTAAAGAGGAAATGGTCATATCTTCAATGACAAGTTCAACTCCTGAACCAAGAATATTAACACTGGATATTGATCCGGAGGTATAATCATAAATTACGTTCACATCATTACATAGCTTTGCTCATTCTAGAATAAATATAGATAAGTTAAAGATTTTATCGTTTTAATCGTTTAAGATCATTGCATGTTAATGATTTTTTAACATTACTATAAATACTCTAATATTGGTTTTCGTTGAAGGTAAGTGGTGATGGAAGTGAATGTGAGAGATTTAAGTGACATGATTATTCTAATGTTTATGAAACATATTTTTTTTAAATACTCTATAATCTATAATCATTTGAAAATACTTTCAAAATATATTCATATTTGTCATTAACATTACAGACGAAACAAATACGAACTGAAAAGCCCAATGACGAAACTGGAAACACTGTTTTTAAATTTATCCCTATTGAGGATGTTACTGTGCCCTCTACACAAGAAACTAACGTATTAAAACTGGCTACTCCTAAAACTACGCGAGTAACAACGGCTATTAATACTCAAACTGTGACAATTTCTGGCACAACTGAAGTTAATACACAAACTCCACAAATACAAATGAATACAGAAAGTAATACTGTTGCAACTTTCACAATAGAGCCATTTATTACAACACCTTCTGTAACCAACTCGGAAAAAGTAAACGAAGAACCACCAACTCCTATTTATATGAATGAATTAGAACTAACCACTGAAGCACAGAACTTTAAAATAACAGAATTAAACAACGATCGTGCAACTTTTACACAAGAACAAACTACGGTTGCTACCACAACTTCTCTACCCGAATTGCAAATAAATAATGATGGTGTTGAATTTACTACAACTGCAGCAACTACTTACCGAGTACCAACAGCAACATCTGTACCTATTGGTAGCGCTACAAATACCGTGTTTCAAACACAAACAAGTCCTCCACCACTTCTTAACGATCGTAATCCAAAAAAAATATCCGAGTTCAATACAGCACAAAATCAACAACAAGAGAATGCTAAGTTATTGCAAGCGCTTTTAATGGCGACTAGTCAAAGTAAAAATAGCAATAATAATCTTATTACAAAAACAAAAACAATGACAACGACTGGTCGTTCTATTGAGGATGATATCCGGCAGTTTGAAGAAGATACTAAATTATTAAAAGCTTTACTCCAAGCCACTGGTAGAGACCCTGCCTCTCTCAACCTACCTTCACTAGATGACATTAAAGCAGTTATAACTACATTAAAACCAAGCGTCCGAACTACTACATTTCAAACAACATCAAATCTGCCACCAAGTACTGTACCAATAACCCAGCCTACTACGACAGAAACAACATCATCATCAATAGTAAATGACGATGTTAAAAGACTCCAAGAAGATACTAAACTATTACAAGCATTGCTTCAAGTTACTGGAAAAAAAAATGGTGGTGATATGCCCATAATATCTGGTTTGACATCTAATGTAAGAATAGCTTCTAATCCATTAACAACATCGATGGAGTCAAAATCAACTACATCTTTCAACGTTAGACCAGTATACACAACTACGGAAATCACCCCAACTACCACTGTTAGGTCCCAATTTATTACTGTGTCCACTTTACAGCCAACCACAGAAGATATTGGAATATCTACAACATTTCGACCTGTTGATGTAAGAATACAATCTACTACAGCTAATCGACCCACTGTGACCACTGAAATTCCTAGTAGCTCCACATATTCAGATGAAGAGGACCTTCTCTTTTTAAAAAATTTGGTATGTTGTAAATTCAGATAATATGTTCAATTTACATGGTTCATGCAATTATAATTTTACGTACGTTTTTCAGAAATCTGTGCTTAGTACGAAATCTAAAAATGAGGACCCAGAAACATCACTGGCCAATCGTGTAATAGCATTAGCTGTTGAAAAAAGTTTAAATGAAATTCAAGTTGGCAAAAACGTTGGAACAACAAAGGTAATGACACCTACAACACCAAGGCTAACAACTACAACGACACGTGCAACAACAACACCAAGACCAACAACGACAACAACAAAAACTACAACTACACGAGTGACAACAACACCTCGACAAAATATTCCATCTATTGAAGATGACATCAAACAATTCGAAGAAGATACAAAACTATTACAAGCACTTTTAAAAGCAACTGGTCAAGATCCTTCAAAATTCAATATACCAACTTTACCTACAACAACTGTGAGTGCACAACTTCCACAAGGCGTAAACGATGATTTAAAGCTTTTATCAAATTTGCTTGCTTCACCATCACCTCTGAATGAACCCTTTGATCCTCTAACACAGAAACCTGCACACACCCAAACTACCCAGAGAACTCCATCATCAACGGTACCTTATGGCATTCAAATAGCTGTTAAAGACGATTTGAAAAATGAACATGACGATGCGAAACTATTGCAAACATTAATAAAACTTCAAGATGCTCAAGAGACGACCACCGTAAGAAGTAAACTGGCTATCACAGGTAAAATTAAGCTACTTTTAATTGGTTTTAATAACGCTAGAGCATTAGTTTAAAATATAATAAACTGTATATAATTATAGGACATTCGTCGGATGAAGCGTTGAAAAAATTAATACAAAAAACGCAACCAGCAGGAATGATGTCAGAATCGACAAAACCATCTATGTCACTAAGTACAGAGTATGGGAATAGCAATGATGCCTTGCTTGCGGCTCTACTGAAGGAGCAAGGTTTCGGTCCAACCACGGCAAGTTCTTTGGACGAACAAATTCGCCTTGCTGTTAGTTCTAACTTTTCTTTTTCTTCTTTATTAGAGAACGAGTATTAACAATCATATTTCACTTCGCATTCATGCGGGTAACTTACCTACGCTTGTCTGTCATCACTCATTTAAACTTTTACTTTTCTAAGCTTTAAGATAACTTATTTCTACTAAATATGTAACACATCATTTAGGTATTATCTAGAACTAATATAACATCGTAGGCATTACTCAATCAAGTGGTCGTGACGCCGAAGGCTAGGCGGACGACAACTCCCCCTCCGCCCCCTGCGCCACGAAGGCCTATATTGGATGGCTTGAGTTGGCTGTGGCAGCAGTGGAGAGATACTGCTCCAGGATCACAAGCTCCCAGGCAGTCCAGACCAGCGCCAACAAGAAATCAACCAGCGCAATCAGCGTCAGCAACTAGTTCTAGACTGAACTGGTTCGGCTCAGGGCCTTTCGTTGGTAATGCAGATGAAAGGCCCGCAAACAGAGTGGGTTCTCCGTCATTTTTACTTAATTTATGTAATTGGGGTTGAGGTGTTGGAACAGAAGTAGGTCTTATTAAATTATAATCAAGAATTTGGTTTGAACATGTACATTTGTAAATAGAAGTTTTATGTGGAGCTTATGATTGATAACTACTACTATTTATTATCTCACAAAGAGATATTGAACTCACATCACTGCGGATTTTGTGTTAATACTTAAAGTATTTTATGTTTTACATTTTAATAACTTAATACACAATGTGTTTTATGTAGAATAGTTGTAAATAATTACGCTTCGTTTTGAATATTTTGTGATTAAACATGTATTTATTAATTTAAGTTTGATCTTTTACTCATGTGACTAACTTTCTTTGCACAGATATTACACCTACACCTTTATTATAATTCATTACATAATTAAATGTTTGTTACTAATAAATTATTTTGTACATTATAAATATAATTTTACAAATTGAGATGTTCGTTGGTATTATATTTTGGAGTTTTTTTAATTATGATGTTATATAGTACATTCATTCAGAATCAGTGTAAGCTTTTTTATAGTGGTTTTTTTTAAGACCGGTGAGTAAAATTATCGTACAATTAATTTCTAACTGTCTAATTCTATTTTTCTTTGTATTTTAATGCTTATGCTGAATTCATTGGAGCTATAATAACAAATCTTATGTCCAATATTTTACTAGATTGTAGGAATTAATTGTGGTTTATAATATTTTAAATTAAATCTATTAATATGATGCGATTTTCATGGAAATTGTTGTAAATATGAAAAACTGTTAACATTATTTATAAGTTAATCAATTGTGTTTATCTTAGACATATTTGTTTAATACATTAAATTCTAATTATTTTGTCTTAAAAATATTAATGTTTCATGTTGTTTTGTACATAGTGTGCCATGAATGTGTACTAACCATGCATGCACTTTTCATTTCATTTTTTCATTGCACAAATCCATCACTGCTATGTGTTTCAAATTTCAAACATTTATTTGAAAAAAAAAATAGAACATAGAACCTCTTTATTTTATAATGGGTTAAAAGTATATATAGTTTTTCGAAATAATTCGAATTTCAAATTCAATTTAAAAACAAGTCCTGTTTTTACACGTTTTTTGCAAATTTGAAACAAATATCAAAGCTCGTAGCTTCTGTGATTTTTATGTGCTAATGTAATTAACACATCATTCACTGGTAGATACCTTTGGAGCCTCCTAGTGCTGTGGAACAGCCTCCTGGCAGAGGTCAGTTAGTTTCCGCAGCCATCAACGTTACCAGGGCATTTTCACAGTTCTTAGGAGCGGCAATTCAGGTAACTACTCGTAATTTCACAAGTTGTGAAAACTCCAGAGAACTATGTCAAAGTTGAATCGTGAATATTTAGTTACCTTGAGGAAGTAGGTTCTACCGACTAAAACTGTAAGATTCTCAGTTATTCTAAAGCTAAAAAAAATATAGTATCAATAATGTTTAAGTTGCAGCAGTCCGTCAATTTGAACGATCAAATGTATGTTTGATGTAACTGGGAAAACATTATATATCAATTTAATGGAATTAATTTATATTTAAGCTATGACAACAAAACATATACAAACAATGGGCTGATATAACTTTTAATTATGGTTTAATTTACGTATATCTCATTCAGTTCATTTAAGTTATTTAATATGTTCGGTTGTTCATGTTTAAAGTAATAGTGCCAGAATCTGCTATTATTGTGCTATGTAGCTATTTATTTTAACTCTTATTATTCATCCAAAACTTTTTTCAGCGATTCAAACATGCGACAATAGGACAACGCTACAAAACAAAATTTGTGACTAAAATTTGTTGATCTTCGCCTTTTGTGTGTATTTTTTTCAGGATCGGAACTACTAATCAATATAACAATTATAATTGGCATTAACAAAGATCATTAAAGTAACCCTATATTAATTCTTATTTCTCTTAAAAATCATATATTTTTATTAGATATACAAAAACATATAAGTTACTTACAAAACCCTTGTACGTTACAGGGCGCCGCCCAAACAATGCAGAACGTGTTTAGAGCGGGACAAAACACTTACACGAATGGATCCGGAGGCTCGGGATAAGTTAAGCATGGACTCGAAACTTTTCCGAAAGTGTCATAGTACGCACTGTGTTGCGAGTGATGTATATAGGCGTTGTACATAGTGTTGTAAAGGGAATGTTATCATATTCTTTTTTCAAATTTCGATGGATAGGCTGTAATGAATCAGACCTGAAAGAATCAGAACTGAATTGTACTTGAATATTTTAAACAAATACAATTCAGTCGAAGTCTATCAATTAATTTTAAATATTAATTAATGAAAACATTTCCTATTAATACGTAGATTAGCCAATGTCAGGGCAATGGTGTGTTATTGATATTTAAGCTTAGCTTGTCTTACTATACTCGTTTCCCGAACGTTCCTATAAAATTAGGAAATTGTAGATAGTGTGGGAGTAATATATTTTTAAATTTTTAATTTCATTAAGAAGCTGTACCCCATAACTATTGTGTTTACTTTTTGGGTCATTGATGCTGTTAGTTGTTTGTGTATGAGTATGCACTTTTCGACCGAACAACGTGTATTGTACAACAGCTATGGTAAGTTTCAAAGACTTAGCGATAAGTTTATCTCCCTTGTCTCACATGTCAAAAAGTGTATTTGATTTTGACATACGGAAGACAGTTCAGGCTAAATTTTAAATCTCACCATTGGTCCTTACTGATTTCCTGAGCTACTGGCTTCTGGGTTTGGATTCTTCTAGAAATATCGTCATTTAACGCCACTCTTTCGAATAATTTTTCGACTTCGAACGATCTATTTTATCGACACTTTTTTAATTTAAGTACTTAGATAGTTGTTCTTAAAACCCTATTCTAAAATTATGTGAATTCGCAGTCTATAACGAATCACATTTTTAATTTCAGCATTTTGCTATTTATTTAGTAAATCTCTGCTTTTTAATACATCTGGACAGTTTAATGCTAATGTATTGGAAATTCCATAATGCCTTAGTGACTTGTAGCAAAATCTAAGATTTTCTCCTATTTTTAAGTCTGGTGCCATTTTGCACATGCTTTTAAGCTATGTTCTTGTGCTTTTATTTATTTGAATTATAAGCTAAGCGATACTTGTATTTATTTTTCTACGGATGCGGTAACTATAGGTATTTTTAAGACACTTCAAGAGCGAATTCATGGTCGAGGCTTAGCGTGGTAACTCTCGTATGTCAAATCCAATACGTTTTTGACTCACGGGAGTTATACTCAGGAGTCAGGGCTAAGTTTCGGCTCTGAAAATTTTCAAGTCTTGCTTTTTGATTAAGCTTACGTTGTGAAATTAGCTTTATACCTATATTCCTTAAAATAAGCTTGGAATCTTTATTATTTTTGTGAGAATAATATTTTACTGATATCACGATAATACATAATAATTAAGTTATCGCTTAAAGTGCTGCAACATTAAGTTTAAGTTAGTTTTTATAAGCGGGTATAATGTGTATTAAAATATATTTCTGCGATTTTAAAATACGACTGAATAAAAAGGCTTCTATAACCTTTCACTGCCTACAGCTTTGTTTTGTAAATTATTGATATTATTAGTAAATTGTGAATATAATAATTGTAAAATATAATAAATTTATAACAAGGTATTTGTGTTTTTGTTTTCCTAATAAATAGTGTAAACTCTTACCTTTAGATGAAGAAATAATAATTAAGCCTCATTTATTCCTTGCAAAATTTACAAAACAAAATTTACAAAAAGTTATAAAATATACACACATACATAAAATACATACATATATATGTATCATATATGTACATATATATATTTTTGTGTTCCCAAGGACCTCTTATTGAGTATAGGCCTCCTCCAATTGGCTCCATCTCTCTCTGTTTTGAGAATTTTTCTCCCAATCCTCTCCACCAACTTTCTTAAGCTCGTCGGCCCACCGTGCAAGAGGGCGACCACGGTTTCTATTTCCCGGTGGCCCTTTCCACTTTGTTACCCTCTTTGTCCATCTGCCATTGTTCATTGGAGCGGTATGGCCCTCCCATTTCCACTTAAGTTTTTTGCAATAGGATAGTGCATCAATAACCATTGTTTTGTTTCTTATTTGTGTACTTCTGATCTTGTCCTTCAGTTCATGAAGAAATAGATACATATAATGTACAAAAGTTATAAAAGCTGTGGTCACCTTAGGGTATTAAAAGTAAAAAAAACGGAACAAACGGGCAGGAGGCTGACCTGATGTTAAGTGCCAACCATGAACACTCACTCAGCCAGAAAGCTCACAAGTGCGCTGCTGGTCTTTTAAGATTTTGTGCTCTCTTTCTTAAAGTTGAATTAGTTGGAAATACTTCAGTAGGCAGCTAGTTCCACATATCGCGGCAAACAGTGTCTTTTAAAACGCTCAGTTATAGAATAACGGACGATGACGGGGGTGAAATTTTATATTCTGTCTCGACGTCCGATCATAAAACTCAGCTGCATGTAGAAAGCAGACCGACTTATGACTTAGTTGTTTTTGATATTTATTTAGTATCATTTGCGATTCCTCCAACTCCTGTCAGATAGTCTCTGTGTAATATGAGTTGTTATGTAGATAACAAATATTTTATCGTAATGTGTCAATTAGTCAATATGTATATCATTAAGGATTTATAAGAACATACAAATTTAGAAAACATTTTCAAAACGGTTATTATTAACTTAATGCCTACTTAAAACACCGATCTAAATGTTTGATCAAAGAATTTGCTAAACAAATTTATGAGGCGTTGAATTGAATACGTTTTACAGCTTCTTTCGAGTTATTTCTTCTTGTTGCTACGGCATAAGATTACTTATGTTACCCAAATAAAACAGAAAGGTATTTTTAATTAATTATTTTTTCTCGCTGTTGACAAGCAATACAAATCCGCCATTTTGTTTTCGATAGATGATTGATTATATTGTTTTCATATAAAGATTAATTTATCACACTTCGGACCACTTAGCGACTGATTACCAGCTCTATTTATCAATTACTAGTTCTTTTGTCTTCTCTATCAATACTCGTGTATCATGACCTCAGATTAATACGTGTGTATGATGTTCAAATATATATCCTATAACATCAACGTCACCGTTCAAATGTTTGAACTTTTGAAAATGAATATCAGACAGGAAACCACGTCATATGGAGATTTGAAATTAGTACTAAAATATTTACTTAAGGTGATATCAGACGGTTTATTTTTTGTTCATTTTCACCTTTCATTCGGTACATTTCACTCGAAATGAAATGTCTGAACAAAAAATGAAACACGAGTGCCGAATGAATTCATTAGTGAACCGATCCAACAGTGTTGGATATTGGCATCCGGTATCTTTCATTCCCACTCCGAATGAACGAGAAATGAACGGTCTGAACACTGAGAGAACGTTCATTCGGATTCGGCCATTTTGTTTCGAGTCCTGTAGCCGACGGACATCACGTTGTCGACGAAGTTATAACTTTTTTTTAACTTTTCTTCAAATTTACTTTCATCCATTCGAAGATGATTACAATATGAATCAGGATCTTCAACGGCTAGTTCTCTCAACAATGTATTGGAAGCTCCTAATAAATTTATTCTTTCAATCCATGGTCGCACCCACCACCGTCGACATTTTCTTTGCTTCTTTTTTGTCAACTCTTTGATTAAATGATCACAAATTAAACTAATTCCAAGACGTACGACTTCATTCGATGACATATTTAAAAGAAAGAACAATGAATGTTCATTTCTGTATCATTTCGTCTAAGCCGTGTGAACATAGAATGAAAAAAAATGAAGCATTCACTCGAGTGAACAATCATTCGAGTGAACCGTCTGATATCACCTTTATAAGTTCTGAAACATGCATGCACAGAAGTACAAGAAATTATAATAACCATGTTACAATATTACACATACATCAATTATGTTAGAACATAGAACTTAGCAAAGCATCATAAAAATATAGGCAAAAAACAAAAATATATAAAAAAATGAAACTAAATAAAAACTTAAACCTTATTAAGAGGGTAACTACCACAAATTGTTTAAATTTTGTGATTTTCTACGTAACTTTTTAAGGGGTAAGTTTTGTTTTATTATTAATTTAGGGTTTATTTTTGAAGCTCCATTTTGAATGAGTGTTTTAGCATCTGGAAACGCCCTCAAATAAATATAAGAAAAAAAATACATTTATTTGGTAAAAATCATGAATTAAAACGTTTAGTAGGATATTCCAAAAATCCTCCTGGCCCACCTTTATTTATTTAAGTACGATGAAGTTTTATGAAGTTAAGTTAATGTTAAGAATTAGTTCAGTTTTATTTCAAATATAATAAGAATTTTAGGTTACTATTATTTATTTTTATTACTAAACTTTTTTGTTAATATCCTTAAATACTAATTTGTTAAATTTAACTTTATATTTATTTGTAATTAATTAAAAAATTTTGATACACGAGGTTGTCGATTTTAATATAAAATAATATTACATAAGATAATCTAGGCAATTCGCATATTTTACACACAATTCGTTTTCAGTAAGTAACCTAGGTACCTATACTTGCATACATTAGCGGTATAGGTAATAAAACGTATCACTTGATTTATTCAAGTTCCGACCTTGGAAAGACTGAGGACTGTAAACAATTTTTTGTGGAGCTTTTTGGATTATACTTGAATATTGATACGCTAACTCGTTTTTATCTACTGTCTTTGGTTGTCGCGAGTACCAATAATTCTATAATAAATATAGTTTAATCTAAAATTAACTATCAAAAGTCTATACTCTATAAGGTCCCACTCTTTACCGTAAATGACTGACGTATTTTTTTTAATATGTAGTACAATGATGTTAGTTTGTTCTTTATTTAGCCACATTAGACAACCTGGTATTTAATAGACATCTTAATAATGTTAATATTTATTAAATCTTCATATCACCAATTTTCATATAACATAATTCATCGCATTATTACACTCAAATAATAATTTGACTTTTATTCAAAATTAATTATATTTCAATTGATTTTAAAATAATCAGAGTATTCTTAATTT